AATAATGGAATGAAGGGGGGTAAAGAATTGAAGTTAATCCGTGAAGGATTAAAGTTTGCAGGTTTTATACTTTTATTGGCCAGCGCTCCATTTCACGGATTAAAGCCTGCGGGTTTCGTTGGCCAGCGCTACATTATCTCTAAACAATTATTTGGACACGCTACCTAATCCCAAAACTTTTATCATCTTATTTACTTTCTATTTAGTATTCATAAAGTTTTATTTTTTTTTATCTATTATCTTTTATGCTAATTTTTTTTACTAGTTATAGTAAACATAAACAAGACACGAGACTCATATGTTTACAATGCTTATATATATAGACAGAGAAAGAAAATAAATTTATTTACTCTAAAGTATATTTTTTTTTTAGAGATTTATTTCATTTAATAATTTATATTTTATATTAAATTTTAACGAATCAACCTTTAAATAAAAAAAATTTATTATATAAATTAAGTCTATAATTTAAAAAAAAAAATTAATACTTCATTTTATTAATTTAAATTAATAGATAATCATAAAAATATTTTAAGACACTGATTTGAATTAATGAAATAAGATATCAAATAATTTTTAAATTTTTTAAAAATTTGCATAAACTTAATTTATGCATTGAAAATTTTTAATTCAACGGTTGAATCTTTAAAATTTAATATAAAATAAAAATTGTTGAGTAGAGTAAGTTTAGGTAGATTTACTTTTAGAATAAGTAAATCTCTTATCTCTATATAATTAGGATCCGTCGACACAATATTACAGATTCAATAATTTTTTTTATGAATACAAATTCAACTAATCCAATTATTGTATTTGACGATATAACTAATTAGGTTAAGTATACAAAATTGTATACAATTCTACAATTATTTGGTAGCTCTTCATTTCACTTTATTTTGATCTATAAAATGATATTTAAAAATATGTAAATATCTATTATTAGATAACATATTTAGAAGAGTCTAAATCATTTAAAAATATGCATGATTATAAGTGTATTATCATTATATATATATATATATATATATATATATATATATATATATGCGTATATGTATTTTATGAAGCTATTTTAAAAGAAAGCTTATGGGTAACGTGTTAGTTTTAAAAGAGAAGCTTTATAATTCTTTTAGTTTACAAGACACAATGATGCTACTAAGAAATTCTCCGGCACTATAAATATGGTACCAAACTGTCCATAATCACATGGGTGCAATAAACTAGAGGAAACACATTATTAAACATTAGGCCTCACCAAAACTGATCATTAACCCTTTTGGGAGAGTTTAAGAAAATGACGAATTCCCAAAGTTTGAGACTCTTAGGCCGTGTTCGGTTGATTAGGTTTTGTTTAATAAAAACTGAAAATAGCTCTAAAGTGTGTTTGATTGAAGTTTATATTGTTTTCAAAGCAAACATCTCTTAAAACTGAAAAACATATATTTTTTGTTTTTTCTTTTCAAATTAAATTTTGGGAAACAATAAAACATTAAAATTATGGTAATCGTAATCTCAGAGAATTGATTAAAACTTAAGCTAGCCTAATTCAAGTTTGGTTTTCTAAACCCTTGTTTGTTTCACTCTTGGCCATCCCTCCCCAGTCTTGCAATTGCACCATTCTGTTGGTGTGTCTCTTTTGTTGATGCTCCTATTGCTCTACACAAGACTTGGTTTTAGATGAACAAGGGTTAAGAGTAGATTGATAAAGTTTTCATATAAATGCTATTTAAGTATCAGAAATGACACAAGTTTAAGAAAATATGCAAATCAAATATAAGAAAGTTACCACATACCTTGATATCACTTTTATTAATTCATATGTGGACGATGTATTTTTATTCTTCTTTTAGATAAGACAAATGGTTGAGGCAAACTGATAGCTGTGTGTAACGTATACTAACTAAATTAAATATTTTATTAATTAAAAATATTGTTGATATTACTTTTAAAATAATTATTATAATATATATATTATATATATATTATCTTATGATATATACTAGTTTTTGATTATATACAAATATAAAAATCCTTATATTGTTACGTGTGCATATACTATTTACTTTTATTATATTTATATTTGTTTTCGTGCACCCAATAAATAACATTGATATTTGGATTTTTTAAAAAATAAACAGTGTTGTGAATATATTATTAGGCATACATATATAAATAATATATATAATTCTTTTATTCATTAAGTATTTATTAAAAAAAGTATTTTTCTAAAAAAATTGTTTCAAACTTCACATGGAAATTTTTAGACCTTTTAATTTGTTGAAGTAGGTAAACTAAATATGTTTTAATATTTTTATCTTTTGATGAAAATAAAAAATTAAACTAAACATATTTTTTTATACTAAAAGTAAAAAAAATGAAAATAAAATATATGATAATTTTAAATCAAACACACCTTTAATATTTTAAATGTCATAAACACACCTTTACTAATTGGGTTATTATTTTCATTTTATTAATTAATATTTTATTTTAGTATAGAAATCATATTCCAATTAGCAATTGGTGTAATAACTCGACAAGTCTTTACATTTGTTACAACTCAATGACTGAACAACGAAAAACATAAACATCAATTAATTTAGGATTATCATGCAAGTAGTACTTGGATATTCATACAATATATGTATAGGACATAAAACATAAAAATAGTTCATGCTTATAACAACTTAAAATATAAAATTCCTTTAATAGAATTGCAACATAATCTATATATATATATATATATATATATATATGTATATAAGTTATAAAACTAAAAGAAATAAAATTTTAAGTTTTCAATAAAAAAAAATATAGTTATATCAAAACAACCTTTATCAAAACATGTTATCTCTCGTATAACATAATATCGTACTCGCCCTCCAACCTAATCCTACTATGCTTCTATAATAATATGATCATCATAGTTCAACAAACAAAAAAAAAGTAAGAGTAAGCTTGTATATAAAGAAATAAAAAATATAGAAGGCATAAGCTAACTATAAAAAAACATCACAACAATCAACATAGTAACAATATGCTCAACTTATAAGCAATGCAGGAACAACACAAATAATTAATCATGTAAGATCAATCATTTCACATCTCAACGTATAATTTAACAACTTAACAACACAACATCTTCACAACATAATATTTTTATACATTGTCACACATTTCAATCAAGATATCTTTTACAACACAAATGAATAATTTAAGTTGTTTGACCTTATCAAATCAATAACAAAGAAAGACCATAATATATAAGTCATACAACATAATTTTGGATACCAATATAATATTAATGCATAAATGATTTCTTAGATTTCACCACTTAAACCATAAAAGTTTAGTACCATTGTCAAGTATACTATAGCTTGAATATGAGTTCATCACGACATTGACATGCGTTAACCAAGTCACATGTAGATTTAGTTCGTTGACTATCTTCTCGATACCCTGCACCTTTCTAGTAACTAGTTAAAGATTTTACCTCTCAACCTCGTATCTTACTCAAAATATCACAACATAAATAGTGTGACTTGATCTAACTCTATAATATATCAACTAAGAATTTAGAAGAGACTCAATACTCCACTTCAAAAGACAATTTACTTAAGAATTCATAAACTATAGAAATTCAAATTCTCTAAAAATCTTATACATCTTCTCCCAGGATTAATTTTGACTTCAATACAAAACAAATTTAAACAAATAATTATTAAAATTCTTAAATCCTTAAAATTTTAAAAACATAAAAAAAATCACATCAATATAAATTAATTAAATATTAAAATAAATATAAAACTCACAACACAATGTTACGTTAGGAGTCTTAGGACCATTAGAAAAAGAAAATTCTTCCTCTCATAACTTTATAATTAAGACTTAACTATAAAACTTTATACTACTAGTAAAAATTAAAACAACCTCATCCAAATTAACTTATACATTCAATGATAGTATATTATAAGCATGCAATTCCAATTTCCAAGTTTCAACCTCCCTTCACTTTTTAAATTTTTTAATAATAAAAAAAATCACTTGTTTATACAATCTACGGAAAATCACTCTTATGTTATAAAATTTTCTATTTTAATAAACAAAATCTTTATTTCTTTATAAAAATTGGAAAACATCCTTATTATAGTTTTTGTCTCCTTATGCAAAACCTCTCCATTTATTAAACACTACACAAAATTCTTTATAAATTTTGTTTTTTTTTAAAATATATTGCAATTAAATCTCTTATTATAGAAATTTTGAAATTATTAAATTCTCAATATAATTTTTCCAGGAATAACATCAAAGTAACATAAAGTAATAAATAATAAAATAAATTTCCGTTTCATATTCAAAACAAAAAAATACTTTATTTTTTTTATAATAAGAATATTCTCACATAAATTTTACTAAAAGAATCACATTCTAGTAATGTAATTATTAATAGTTAGTATGATAAAATTTTTTCACTGATTTTTTGTTACTTTATTTTTTTTATATAATCCCTATTATTGGTAATTTTATCATTAACACATCATTTATTTATTATATTCTATTATCTAACGTAGTTTTAAAATTTAAAAAACCAATAATGTCAATTTTTAATACTATTATATATAATTTATTTTAATGTAATGTATATAAAGTATAATATAGTTTATAAAGTGTTTAAGAAATAGAAGAAATTTTATCTGATCAGTCAAATTTTTAATAAATATATTTTTAAAAATTTTATATAAACATATAAGTTTTAAATTTAAGTACATTATATATTATATTTATAAAATAAGAAAAAAAAATAATAAACAGGTTTCATTTAGCCTGTGTTTGGTTTCACGTTTGAAATTTCACATTTCAAACGTGAAACCAAAACGCACATACAAAATAAAAGAGAGGATTGGTTTTTATTTTTTACTTACTTACTTACCTAGTTAAAGTTGAACCGAAGAGCGTGACGTAATTGGATTTTGGTGCCTAAATGGTTGTCTGAGATGGACTTGTCATCAAACCTCACACAAAGAAAACCTCACTAAACCTGAAAATTTTGCAAATTCTTCTTCTTCTTCAATCTTCAACATTTTTTCTTCAAAGTGAATCCACACTGTGTTTATTGGTCCTTCAATGTTCAAATCTGTCTCTCTCTGTTGCCGCTGAGAAGAACCCATGTCCCTTTCCTTCTTCAAGCTCATCCTGTGAAGCCCCATTGGCAAGAAACCTCTCACAACTACTTTACTCCGTGACTTCTCAACCTTCACCTTCTTCTGCTGACCACAATTGACTTCCTTATAACACTTACTTTCCTTGTTTTGCAGTTGCACCCTTCACCGCCACCACCTCCCTCTTCCGACCATTGAGGTTCTTTCCATGCAATATCGTTTCCTTTTTGGGGGGC